TAAAAATCCGTAAGAACATTTTTTAACCAAATTTAAAGAAGGCATCTTGATTGAGAGTGATTTTTTTTTTTTTAACTTCACAGCTGTTCCCTCATCCAGGGCTTTGTTTACCATTAAACAAGAGATGGTTGTCTTTGCATTTTAAATAAGCTCCAAGCATTAAATTGCTCAGATTTTCTTGATGGAGGAGGCCACTAAGAGAGAGATGAGCATCCGTAGTAGGCATGATTACTGCCATAGGCTATCAGACTTTTCTCAGCGTCTCCACAAAGCCTTTTGATCAGGAAGAGGCAGAGATTGTCAAAGTCATCCTTCCCACTACAAAATAGTAGGAGTGACAGTGGGCCCTCACCTTTCGTGGCCACTAAGGACCAGCACCATTCAAGTCAGACCTGAAAGGCTGAAATCTTGAAAGCTGATAAAGGCTACTGTTCTTTACTTTGTAGCTCCTTTCCTTTTGTAAGAGCAGATTAGAAAATTGTAATCTCTCAGTTATGATTAGCTTTCTGACTATCTCTGTGTTGAACTTGAAGAGAACTGTTATAATTTTCAGTTTGTGTTTCCCTATCCCCTGTGATAACTTGGGTCAGAGGCTGAGCCGCAGGCCTCCCAGTGGTATGAAGAGCAATAATCCAGTTTCTAGGCTGAGCCAAAAACAATAGTAACCACAGAACAGGGCCTGGACTCAGTGCAGAGCTCGTTTTCATTGGCCAGACTTCTTTCCCCCCAGTGGCCTGGGCACTCATTCATCTTGATCCATCTGTTGGCTGTACTTCTGTGATACTAATATTTGCATATTTAGAAATAGTTTGAGACACTAAAATACTTGAAACTATCCAAACTTTTGGACATGATGTGAATAAACTAGCTAGGTTGTTAGAAGAAAATTTTACTCTGTATCTAGATACTTTACCGTTGTTTGACGCATAGCCCTGGGTTTAAAAATACTAATATTGATTTTAATTCTAAACATTCTTTTTTTTCTAAGGTCAGGTTCTTTAAAACACTACAGGCTCTAGAATCACACTATGTGAGTCCAAAACTGAATGGCTTGAACAGTAAACATCTATTACTTTACACCAAGTCTGTGGTTCAGGGATTCAGGAGCCACTCACTCAGGGTCGGTCGCTCATGGGGTGCAGTCAAGATATTGGCAGGGTTGAAGCTATCTGAAGGTTTGCCTAGGGCTGGAGGATCTTTTTCATTCACACACCAGGCAAACTGGTGCTCGCTGTTTTCAGGAGGTCTCAGTTCCTTGCCATGTTGGCCTCTCCATAGAAGTAAGTGCATGGGTGTCTTCCTGACCTGGCAGCTGCCTCTCCCAGAATGAGTGACCCCGAGAGAGCAAGGGAGAAGCCTGATGCCTTTTATGAACTCAGATGTCACACATCGTCACTTTCACCACACTCTATTCGTTCAAAGCAGATCATTAAGTTCAATCCACGTTCAAGGGGAGGGAAATGAGACTTCACGTTTTGAAGGGAAGCGTTTTGCTTGCTTTTTTTTTTTTCTTCTTCCTAATACATCTAAGGACAATCAGTATGATTAGACAAAATATTGTCTGGGTAATATATACCAAGCTGGGTTTGGCAGAGTCCTTGTAACCGGCTGGAATCTATTTTTTCTTATGTTTCCAAGGGCAATTGGCAGCTCTTTCAAAGCATCTCGACTTCATAGCTGGTTCAGACTCCTCACATCTGACATCCAACCCATCAACAAGTCCTAGTGTCTCTACCTTCAAATATATATAAATCTACCTTCAATATATTCAAATACAACTCATTCTCCACAGCCCCAGGGCACCACAAGGTCCAGTTCACCACACGCTCTCATCAGAGCTGGGTTTCTCAACCCCGCATTAAATTCTACACTGAGCAGCCAAAGTGGTCTTTTTAAAAACATGAATAAAATCACTCTATATTCCCTTTTAAAAACCTTGCAATGGCTTTCCTCAAAAAAAAAAAAAAAAACCCCAACAAAACAAAATCAAACACTTTGCTGTACAACTTCATCTCCGCTGCAGCCTTGGTAGACTCCTTCCTACCGGTTCAGCTCACCCAGCTTATTTTAACCTCAGGGCCTTTGCAGTAGTTCTTTCCTCTGCCTAGAATGCTCTTTGCATGGCTTACTCTCTTATTTTAGTCAGGTCTTATTCAAACGTTGCCCCTTCAGATAGACCTTGATGAGAGGCCTATCAGAAAGCATCCCAAACCCTACCACACTCCCTAAATATGACACTCCCTGTGTGACACCATATTAAATATTTATGTGTTTTTTGTCTGTCTCCCTCACTAGACTGTAAGCTCTATGAAAACAGGGAATTTGCCTTGTTCACTGATACGATGTGCACCCTGTATTCAGAATGGTTCCTGGCACATAGTTATGAGTCTTGATTAATCCAGAAATCACACGATGGAGGCTAGTCTCACCCACAGATATATTTTGTTAATACAATGATGATATCCGACAGTGTTTTTCTAAAAATATGATTTAGTCACCTTAGCCGGTTTGGCTCAGTGATTGTAGCATCGGCCCATGGACGGAAGGGTCTCAGGTTGGATTCTGGCCCACAGCATGTACCTCAGTTGCAGGCTCAGTCCCCGGCCCCAGTCAGCACAGGAGTGGGAGGCAACCAATCAATGTATCTCTCTCACACTGATGTTTCTCTCTCTCTCTCCCCCTTCCCCTCTCTCTGAAAGAGCAATGGGAAAAATATCCTCTGGTGAGGATAAAAATATAAAATAAGATAAAAATATTATTTAGTTGACACCTCTTATAAATTGTGGGATTTCATATAAAAATTCCCATTTGGGGTTAAAAATTAAGAGATACTTATATTTGGAGTCCTTTGGCAAAAATCATGTCATGTTTATCAGCAGCTACTTCTTATAGACAGGATTTACTCCAGGCCCCACCACTCCCTATTATATTTTTGATACCAATGTCCTTCCTACTCCAACCCCCTTCATTCCTCTGTATTAGCCACATGGCCCTGTAGGCTTTCAGGACCCTAGAATAAGCATATTTATGGTAAGTTTGCCAATATTTGTCCTACGTATCAGTGCAATTTTTTTATGTAAAACTTATAAATGAAATTGGTCCTATGTTGGATTTCCAACTCATATTCATACTGAGACACACATTTCAGCCTTTGGTGCCATTCTAGTTATAGAATAATCACTCAGCTTGACACACTTAACAAAGAACTTTTGCTAATGAAAGAAAGGAAGGACCCAATTGTGTTTCAAAATAATTTTTACTTTCAGAAGGTTATTTTTTAAAACATAAAAAAAGAAACATAGTTTCAAATACTTTTCTTTATTTTCAAAACCTCATGAACATTCAATCCAGATGTTTACCTAAAATGATTCATTTACCAGTGTGGGGCACACCCAGTTGTCCTAAAAAAGAAAATAACTGAGTTTAACAATAGACGGTTACATAGTCTGAAGTCAGATCAAGAAAAGAAAAAAAAAAAA